GGGCTCTTATGGAACAAGGTAGAATTTCGTTGCACTGATAGATAGTTATTGAAAATTCATCTGTGTCATCTGATAATTTGAATCAATTAAAAATTTTAGGTTTATACAATTATTCATCTTTATGATTTGGAAACTGTTACTGAACAAAATCATTTAAGGAGCAAAGGTCATTTTGTCTACGGCAGCATCCGGAAGTTTAAAGGAAGAACTCACACCGGGTTCATTGGTATTTTTGGATTCCTTTATTGACAGGTGGAACAAACTTTGCTTCTCATTCTTTTTGTTGCGTTAATCAGTTTTTACATGTTCCTGATCTTGTTTGATTTCAGAACATTTAAGCGCGAAATAACATTCTATGATGGTAAAGATGGTCATCCAAAAGGTGTATGTCACATTCCTATCCATCCAGCGTACAATGAAAAACTAAGACAGGTGTGGTCAAAGTTTGATTTTACAAAAACGCCAAAAAAGTGTTGGAAGCTTTTGTTAAGAAAATGAAAAATCACTTCTCTGCTACAAACTTTTCTAAGCAAATTTTGATAAATCGTTTCTTACTTTTCCTCTCTATGCTTGTTTCCTTTAGGTGTTAATCTCATCTGCAGAGGAGCTCAAATACAAATTTTTCAAAACTGGAACAGCAATATGCATTGAGGGACCGCGATATTCTTCTCGAGCTGAAAGTGAAGTGTTCCGGGGTTGGAATGCTGATATTATTAACATGACTGTTTGTCCGGAAGTAAGCTTTGATGGTAACATTTTGTGCAATCTGCCTCGTCAGACATGAGTTTATGTGGCTTCCAAAAAAGATTCATGCCATCGACTATCATACCTTTTCGTCTGATCAACAGAAACTAACTACAGACAATTTTTAACCAACATTTTTGTTTTCTTATTAAAATTGCGATTTGCTTAAATTGAATGATCCTAATTTTTACATTCTTTGCTACTTAAATTCATGCTTCATTAATTTTTTGTATTTGTTAGGTTTATCTAGCGAAAGAACTGGGTATTCCGTTTGCAACAACTGCTATTGTAACAGATTATGATTGTTGGAGAGAGGGCGAAAAGGTCAACTTCTTTTTGTTTTAATTTTGACTGGAAGAAACAAGATTTAGTAAGATTAAAGAAAGAGATTTCTAAAATAATAAAGCTAAATTTTGTTTGGTTGCAGTGACTTTAGTCAATTTTAAGGTGTCAGTTGATTTGGTGGCTCGGAGGATGCGCGAATCTGCGGATAAAGCTAAAAACCTTTTCGTTACAGCAATCAAAAAAATTGGATCAATGCATTGGGATGATGAAATAATGGAGGCTAAGGTTTCTTATGCGTTTTGCTAAAATTGTTTAATATCTTTTTCTTTCCATAATCTGCTTCATTATATGTAGGAGAAAGACCCACAACATATCTAAGCAGATCTATTATGCCAGAGATTATCCATGCATGATGAAAAGCGTTCTTTCGCGAACTTCATTCGCTTTTGTTTACTTACAATAATGCATCGCTGGTTTTTTATCTCTTAGTCACGATTTATAATTGTTTCAGAAAACAGCTCGAGCAGGAGTGATGATTGACGAACATGTGGTTTTCGATCATTTGAAATATTGAAGCATCGAATACCCCGTTTTTGAGAACTTTTCTTGTTGATTCTTGCCATTTGATTTTATTCTTATAGATGTTATTGTGACTTAAGTCCTATTTTTTAATTTGTTTACGCTCTCCTGCGAGCTCTTGTTCTTGGTTTAGTATATCTCTAGCTTCGATAGTAATATTTTCTAAAATGACTAATATTTTCTGAAACAAATTCATTTTTGTTTCTTTTTTTCTATTATCATCATCACGTATTCAGATTTGTTGGACAAAAATTGCACGAATTCAAAAAAAATATTTTTTGTAATTTTTACACATGGAGGATTAAATCCATGATTCTTTCTTTTTTTACAAGATTAAGAAACGCTTTATGTAAGTAAAGCTTGTAAATTGTACTGTACAAGTTGGTCGAGTCAAAACAACAAAGAGTCATGAAATCATATAAATAGTCTTTCCTTTTATCCTTGTGTTGCTTTATACGTGGATGGACAGAATTCCTTTATGTATGTCATACATTTTACTGCAATTTACAGATTTATATAGAAAATACACAAAACATGTCAATAATGGTATCAATTTACTTCTTGATAGAAGAACGGTTTAATGAAATATCTATAACGGAAGCCTTTTTTACATTTCAAGTCACGAATTGAATGGAATATCTTTAGTACTCTTTTTTAAAGATTACTATATTGATAAAAGCTTCGTTTGGTGAGGACTTGATTTAAAAGATTTGACCTCAAAAAACGATTTAAACAGTTAGCAAATCATTACACTTTTTATTGCTAGAAATAGTGAACGAAACTATCTTATTGTGTATGATCCAAATAGTGTCTTAATGTTTAAATGAACAGCTTCGAATTTGCTAGTATCTCCTTATTTTTTTGACTGCCTTTCATTTTTTACTCAAAACTACTGTTGAAAGAAACCTTTCACTGCTTCATAGTATTAAACTATAAGAATGTTGCTGAATACCTCAAACTGCGTCTCCGCTATCAAAACGCATAGTTAATAAAATCTGTCTACCACAATAATCTTTGACTCATTACACTTCTAGCAGAAATTAGATGGAATGATTAGTGATTTAATACCTCAGTAAAATTATACAAACTGCGTTCATCATCCAATAAAGAGGCTAAGATAACCATTTATGTGACTTGCATCATGTGATAACCATAGCTTCCATTTTGTACATGAACGTATTAAATCGAAAGATTACATTAACAGAGAGAAACATGAGTAAGCTGACGATATCACTTCAACCTGCGGATAACGGCAAAGTGGTTGAACCTTGTTGGACATCGCCAAGAATTTCATCAATTTCTGTAATTTGTTTGAGTATAATTTTCCGTATTGCAACTGTAATAGTTGTGAGTGTGACAATTTCTTATCGTAGCCATAATTTGCGCATACATAATATTTTGGCGCCAGCCAACTATCACTATGAAACTCATCAATGTAAGAAGAGATTACCTTCAACAACGACGTGAAAGCCGTAGTGCAAATAACATAGGTAGCTAAGGTGCAATATATAGGCTGCTACAGTAATAGTTAATTTGTGAGATTTATCGTGAGTCCGTGAACACAAATACAAACTCTAAAGATATGTTGTCGATAAGTCATTCATTAAAAAAAAACAAGCAATTTTTAACTTTACCATCTTTGGAATTTTTTTAAAAAAAAATACCACTCGCAGGACGGACGGAATGCAAAATATGATCATCGTTGCATAAAAGAATAAATGTGAATGCTGTGGGTGGAAGATCATTGTCAGCAAAAGTACCACACAGTGACTGCATAAAGAATATCCCTGAAAAACGAAAATTATTTTAAAACAAAATGCCTTCAAAAAGACAAAGTTTCCTTAGCTTTTTTACTCAGTTCTTGTCAGTAACTCATCTCTGGACATATTATCTTTAACTGGTGTAGTCATTTAAGAACTCAACAACGACATACATATAATGAGAAGAAATGAGTGAAAGATATATCCACATTAAACATCAAGCACAATGCATATATTACCAATGACATAAAAAACCAAGCACCAAAACAAGTAATCATTGCTGTACCGATCAAAGTACCATCTTGAACTGTATACCTGAGATTAATCTATCATAAAATGACTATAAAATTAATTTCTGATATACGAAGTTTTCAATCATGTATGCTTATCCAAATTTCGATTTGCATGAATTTACAAAGGTCTAACTTTTTCTACGAATCTTTTATTGCAAAAAATAGGATTAGTCATTTGAAAGAGACCCGTTAAAATAGCCATGAAAAAATGACACCCTGTTATATGGAATCGTGACATTGTCATCAGAAAATCGGAAATTTACTTCAGGAACAGTCAACTAAGAAGAACTTGCACTGTTATACAATTTAGGTTTTTCGTCTAAAAAGTTTACCCTGATGATTTCATGGAGTAGAGAAGTAAGGCGACCAAAGTAAGGATAATCATTGTTGGTCCATACATATCATTAGAAACATTCATTTGTGAAGGCTTTCGAGGTATAAAAGATTGTATCAAGCGATTTCGAACTTGACGTGGTTCCACGTCAAAATAGGGTCGAAATAAATCGATACGGCCGTAAGAATTAAATGTATCTTTCATTTGTTTGCTGCTTACTTCCCAAACCTATAAACATATGAGCGATAATGAAACAACTGTGCAGCGATTCAATAAGATAAAAAAGTGCATCCTTTGATTTTATGCACGTTATTACGTCATTTTAATTAACTTAGTGACATGCATGAACAAAACTGCTTGCTTCAAATCTTCATCGCGTACAGTGAATTCATCAATCTTGCTTGTTAATACTACAAGCATACTTACAAGCATAATTTTTTTGATATTTGAAAATTTAGGTGAATATCTAGAATGAGATCATTTTTTACAGAGAAATTAGCACTTGCGCGTAGAAATGTAGCAAAAGTGACTATAGCTTCAATTCATATCATTTCAATCCTTTGTTTTAAAACCTCTCAATCTTACCATTTCAGAAAGCCTTGTATGTAGAACATCTACGGTCGCCTCGTTGCTAATCGAGTTTAAACGATTTCTTGACCTTGTGTTCTCCATTCCTGCATATAGTATACTATTATACTGTGCGACTGATGCCACTGATGTCGGACGCACATTACTATTTAAATGCTGCCAGAGAGCATCTAACGCAATGTATCAATTAATAAATATAAAAGGAATAAACTCGAAATTAAGATATTCGAAAAATTAATAACTGAATAGAGAAATGCCCGAATGTACATGACATCCATCCATTCACTACAGATTCCCTAGTGATCTTTAGTCTGAAAATATTTCGGGCAACCTACCTATACTTCTGGAAAGTTATCTAAAATGCATAAAACAAAACAACCCGAACCAATAACTCCGGTACCTTCACAGTCGGCAGCGCGAAATATGCAAGGCCGAACAATAGAATTGGTCGGATTGAACCAGTCGATAGTGCTGCAGTTTTGTCGATAATGGGATGGGGTCTGGTTCATCGATGCTAGGTTTTTGTTTCATTCTAAGATATCTTGGAGGAGAACTCCGATATTCGGAGTCGGGATGGCCATTCTTCGTTGTTGTGATTTTTGATCTTTCAAATATTAGTGCTCTTTTACCCAAATTTTTTTGAAAGTATTATTGCATAATCCGTTAATAAATGGCGAATCGCAAAGTTTAATAAGTCAGATGGATTTTCAACATTTGATTCCTACACTTTGTTAAAACAAATCGAACACTTTGTTTTGTTATATGTATGAAAGTACAGCCGTTTGGTACCTGCGTTAAGTTTCATGAACTTGCTGTCATCGTACGATTTTTATTTATAGAACACGCATAATGTACGAACAAATAAAAGATGAAGAGACAGATTTGAATGTGGAGACATCGAATCTATCTGCTGATATACACTCCGTTAGAAAATGTATAACTTGTAGTTTGTTAAATTTACGAATATTAGTCTTGTGCATCTCGAAATTCTCTTCGATCTTTTCGAGATAAAATCGCTGGCAGAAATACTTACCTGGAGTTCATGATTGTAGAGTTTTATTGCAATTTTTGTTTAGTAATAAACCAAATCCACTATTGTTTTAATGAAGTTATATCTCTTGAAATTTCTAGCCAAATCAAAATCAAGAAGAACAGTATTATTATCGATAGTTTGAATCTTTCCTAGGCCTAAAAAGTCATTAATTTTTTTTAGCTATCGATTTTGATGGATATATAAGCGTAGGTTCCGGCGAAGACGGTAACAATTTGCTTGAAATTCCTGTCGATGACAATGGTAACTTACCGATAGCTACACTTTCACATGCGTTCCCTGAGGCTATAGGATTAAAATTCAAAAATCTGTCTACTGGAGTTTACCGAACATTAGCGTATGTATTTAAATCTGGCAGTGTTAATTAGCTCAAATTTCTTGTTTAAACGAAACATAATAGAAAAAAAAAAAAAACGATAATCGTTTAACATTTACCAAGTTTTTTGTTTTTTAGGGTAGATGAACAAAAACGATGCATTTTTCCACCAAAAGGTGGTTGGGGGACGCGACGTTATATAGCGATCTTCGCGATTCGTAAGTTTTAGTTGGAATTATTGCTCGAAGTATCGCTCCCTATGACGATACTTGGATTGGGTATCAATAGCCATTTATTAAAAAATGACAAGTGTTGATCATTCTGGTTAAACATATATCAAGTACAAAACATAATGAACCTAAGCTTTCAATGCTGCGTGTCTTGTGATATCCAAAAAGATCTTTGTGAGATTTAAATGACCAAACAGTAAAGTACAAATACACTGTGATGGAATTGCCTTGGTTTAATTGTTGATATTACTTACGTCTTCTCATCCTGTTGCAAACATGTATCTCTTGTGTATGTCTGCTTGATTAAGCAATGTGAATGTGAAAAGGATTGATTTGCCTGAAGTGTTTGAATGAATTTGTTTTTAGCACCGGGTGATCGAAAACGGCCATCAAACGATGATATGGGGGATCTAGTAGGGGAAAAACGCTCTGGTTTGGATGGTAGTCTGAATGAAAGTTTGCGTGTACCGGTAGATTTAATCGTTCTCAATCTCTCTTTCAAAACAGATGAGGAGGCGCTCAAAAAATTTTTCGAACAATATGGTGAAGTTCAGTATGTTGAGGTTTGCTCTGATCGATTGTTCTTTATATTTGTCTGTTTGAAAGTGTGCATGTATGCGCTCGTGAGCGGGGCGTGTTTTCCTAGTTTCTCATAATAACTTTCCATGTTCATTCCACTCCTAGAACGTAATTTTCATAGAATTTCTTAAGTTTTTTCCCTTAATAGGTATTCATGTTAATGATGCCAACTGCAGTGACTTTATACACTTATAGGTCAAACGCGATTTCAAAACCAATATGCCAAAGGGATATGGATTTGTGAAGTTCGCCAATATTGAATCTCAAGACAAAGTGCTTCGGGATAAAGAAGTTTTCATCGATGGAAGAGTAACACAAGTTAGTGGTACACGTCTACAAGTCAGATTTGATTGTGCAAGCAATATCGGTTGCATAGTAAATGAAATAAAACACCATTACCATTCACGACAGAAAATTCTATATTTTTATTATGGCCCAGATTTGCCGTTCTTAGCTTTGCTTTTCCGTTTTGTTCTTCATTTCTACAATAGACCATTTCTTTGTCCATGCTTCACGAAATTTCCAAATTCCAGGTGAAACTTCCAAACCATTTCCCCAATAGAATTCCTCAGCAGCCAACTTTTGCAATGCTTCCTGCACGGGAAACAATCTCCACAAAATTATACGTTGGGCGCGTGTGGAATACACTGACAGAAAAAGATATATTCGATGTTTTGGATGCAGAAGCAAAGAGACTTTCTCCTCTTGCCAAAGTGAGCTATTCTTAAACTTAATTGTGAAGAGGGAGACAAACTGCTATTTCGTAATTCCAAACATAGAAAAGTTAGATGAGAGTTTCCGATAGTCTTTCCGCAATTTGTAAATTAAAATTAACTCTTTTCTTTTTAACTTCCTTTTGTTTGAACTTCTAATGATAGAAGAGTTTCCTTTCCTCGTCAACTACCTCTTAGTGGACAATAACATAGTTTGAAATGTAAAATGCATGATGAAATGCTTTATTACCAACAAATGTCCGCAAAATTTTTTTGAAAAAAAAATCCAAGCTTCCTTTGCTTTCAGGTCGAACGAGTGTTCATACCAAAACCTCATCGTGGTTTTGCATTTGTAACAGTGAATGATCCAAATGTAACGAAACGATTTTGTCAAATACGCGATTTTATCATCAAGGGTAAAAGTGTATGCGTCAGCATCCCAACACCAAAAAATAGTGCAAAACAAATGCAGCAGCATAGGCAGAATCAAGACATGTATCCTTCTCAATATCCAATGCCTCAACCGCCACAAGGTTCTGTGCACTCCTATCCTGCGAACATAAATTATCCAGGTCAGTTTTCACAAAATCAGAACTGGATGAGTCCACGAACCACATATCGTAATTCCGGAGCTTCAATACCCTACCCAGAATTACAGTAATTAACAGTGGAAATATATCCACGTTTTATAAATTGTTACAAACCTTGAATGTTACGTTTCAAAGTTATATACCAGCATTAGTTATTGCTGCAGTTTATAAGATTTTTATATTTACATATTATACATAAATGAAACAGTAAGAAAAACCTGTTTTTGAAAAAAGACCAAATTTTTGCTTACTCTTAAAAAGAATTAAAACGTTATAAGTTCGAGTGATTTTACTGAAATAAGATAAAAATGTCATATATTCTTGCACAGACTGATCACGGGTTTTTGTAATTATAGATTTTATGATCTCGCTCATAAAGCAGTTTATAGATGTTTTATTTTCCTGTATGCTATTAAACGCTGGCATGTCTGTGTTCTTTATATATGTTAACTGTTTTTTCTCTGTTTTTATTTAAACAAATTGATAAATAAATTTCGAAGGGATTTGTTCCCGTCATCTAAAGCAAAAAACCATTTAAGAATAGTTAAAATTCAGAAATAATTTTGTAATCTGTCGACGAATGCTGATGTCCGCTGCTCTCCTGTCAATTATTAATGGAAGGGACACGTCATCGAGGTTCTATTAACTTCGTACACATGAAATATAGAAGTTATAATCTCGGAACAGAACACCCTTAATCATATATGAATTATCATATTGCACAAAGCACCATACCGCGAGTATTTCCAGGAAAACGTGACCACAACTTAAACTAACCGAAGGGAGCGTTTCAATTCCAGCGAATTCCAAGAAGCAGTGTGTTATAATGAACATACACAATAATTTACCTGAGAAAAGGTCTACATCAACAAAATATCACTATAATAGCAAATAAAGCCGAGACGAACAGAACTGTTGAAAGACGGTGAGAATCTTCCCAAATATATTTGGGTGCATGAAATATCTCCGACAAATAAAACCGTGTCATTCAATCTACGAGATCTGTCACTGCCAAAGTGAATATACAAACCTGATTTTGCTAACCAATTAATTTGTAGGATCGAGTCATTACTAAATTACTTGACTCGCTCCGAAAAGTATTATTTTCATTTCGATTTATAAAACATGATGAATTCTTTTTACCTGAAATTTAGACTGACATCCACCAGTGGCGTAAAAAATTGGCTAATGCACGACTGCTTAATTTTAAAAGTAGTGACAATACAGAGTTGTCAGTTGTAACAATGAAGGAAAAGCGCACTATTCGTAACGGCAATAGGAAGAAGAAAGAACTTTATGGAGTAATCGACACCTTGTCAAGTGTGAAGTTCCACATTATTTTCAATTAAAAGAATGGGAAGCACATAAAAATAATCGTTGTAGAAGTCTTATAACTTCCCACCAGTAGATTCTTCCAGTCGCTTGTTTTCTTCCGCAGTGACAAATCCATTTCGTAATATTTCTCCTCTTATCGCATTAGTATATTTGCATGATTTCGATCCACACTGACACGGAAAACTCTTCAACTTGACATCCCACCATTGGCTTCCATAGTCGATAGTCAGTTCTTCTCCCTTAAAATATGGAAATAAGCTATTATAAGAA